GTGTGTGTGTGTGTGTGTGTGTGTGTGTGTGTGTGTGTGTGTGTGTGCATGTGTGTGATACACAGAACTTAGTTTACATCTGAGGTCATGTGGGGATTTGGGGGCTTACAATACTATTTACACCAAAAGTTTGTGTCAGTGTTGAAACAGGAAAGACCAGTACTGCTTTGACTACAAACACACACACACACACACACACACACACACACGTTTGTCTTTCTTGACTCGTGGGGACCGTCATTGAAGGTCCTTGGCCCCTAAACTTAAACTTTTACAATAAAGGACGTATTAAAATGACAATGTGAATGGTGTTGCTCCTAGTGCTGAATCTGCAGAGAATTATTAGTAACAATCTTCAGCTCCCCTCGGCTTTACAGAGCTTTAAAGTGACTTTCAGCTCATTGTTGAGCTTGTTAAAATAACATGTTGACAATTCAGCTACATTAATTCTGGCAAATCAAAAGTAATCCCTGAACTTTCATTCAGTAGAAGAACTGGTGCACCTAAATCAAATTTTTCATAATGCTACTGGAAAAATACAACCCCCCACAGTAATGTCAAAGATATGACGTCTTTACCATGCAGTTATATATTTAGCCACTAGAGGGCACCACTGCCACACAATTGTTTTGAACTAACAGCATTTTTTTGTGTTATTGTGTTTTTTAGTGAATACATCACAGATAAAACTTTGTTACACATTTAATTTAATACTTGTTCAACACATTTGATCCAACTACTAAAATAAGTGGTTTGCCATATTTCCTTTCCACTTTTCATTTAAACATGTTTGTTTCCTTTTCTATTGTAACTTTAAATTTTTTCAAAGAACGCTCCTCCATGTAGTTCATTTATGGTTTCCTTTTCATTTCTGTTGCTTTGTTATATTCAATGTCACGTTTTTACGTGCTTCAATGTCTTCCTTTTTCTTTTTAACATTTAAATAAGGAATATTTATCCTTAATAGTAGAATACATTATTATTTGCCATCAACTCTTTCGTTTTTAATTTTACAGAAAGCTCCAACTATTCTCCAGGTATGTCTGATATTTTACTCCATGTGTTGTTAATGTCAGCAGGTGATCTCATCAGATGTCCACTGTCAAACACCTGCATGTACGGCAGTTTAATTCAATAACGGTTTACCATTCAACACACAGCCTCGTGTGGAGAATCACCTCGCTCACACAGCAGGATCGTGGTGTAAACATGGCTGCCACAGATGGGAGGAGAGGAGAGGAAGAGAGGGGAAGAAAAACAGAAAACCAATCAGAGTTCCCAAACATTCCTGATGCATCCAGATGACCTGAATGGAAATTCTCCCATCAGCTCCTTGTCCAAGCTGGACCTTTGCCATGGGAACGGGGCACAACTTTGCTTTTAAATACCAGAGTGCCCCTTTCTCAAACTATCCAGCTGCCAACTGTCTAACTGTCTTGTTAGAAATAAACCGAGGGGGTCAGAGGGAAATATGAAGGGTCTTCAGGCTCTAGTTTTCATAACGATGCTTCACAGGAACAATCGTTTTGGCATTTCTCAACTACACATATCACATGTAATTTATCATAATGTATGTGCACAAATTATAAACTCAGATCACTTAGTTTGTTACCTCAAATTAGTGTTAAATTACATAATGAATTCCTTTAAATTAATATCATTAAATTATGTCACTCTCATACAGTGTTGATGCTAAATTGGCGGCAACAATAACTTTGATTTTTGTCTTGATATAGGACCGAGATCTGGGGATAAACTTGAGGTTTTGACTGTTAAACACAACATTGTGTTTTCTTTGAATGAATACGGTGTTGGACAGTTTCTGTTCTGTTATATATGCAAACAAATGATTAATGTTAAGAAGTTATTTAAGTGTGCCAAGTGTACAAATGACTAATTCACGACATGCACATTCTGGGTGTTAATTACTGAACCGAGTCCTTTAATACTGACTCTCTGATACTGAGTTTATTTGTTGTTTAAATGTGTCTGACAGCTGTAGCTGTTACACACCTACTTGATCAAAATACCGGAGGAAATATTGATATAATATTATGAGAAAGGGAGAATGTGGCATCCCAAAATTGACAATAGGCCTTTTTTTCCCACAAGAAACATTTTGACATGACAAAAAAATAAAATGGATGCTGCTTCAGTTTCAGTGTCCTGGTATCGTTCCTACAACTGGGACACCTGAATAGAACCGAGGCTTCATTATTGTCACACTTATTCTGTGCTTGTCCTACTGTAAAATGTCAAAATGTCTGCTGTGAAAAGCAGTTACAACAGTAATTTATATCAAGGCAGCTCCACAACCGAGTCACGTTAGGTTAAATACTAATCAGCAGGAGTCACAGATAAATGCTGCAGGTATTAAAAAGAAAAGAGTGAGCATGCCAGGACTACGGTGTTCCTCTTATTGTGTCCATTATGTAAACAACACTGCATTTTATTTTACTCATCAGCCTTTTAGAGAGAGAAATAGACTCAAACTGATTTTGCAAAGCCTTTTAAACATATACAGCATTCACATTGTCGAAGTGGAATAATAAATACAAAACTACAATATAGGAAATATCCAAAAATGTAAAATCATCACTGATAGTATAATCAGTGTAATTTGTCAAACTACAGTACAATCTGCAAATAAAACACACAACAAACATTTCAGATTGCAAAGATTGTCGTCCATTGTGTTTCAGTCCAGATGTTCATAGTCATCATGAGATATTAACATAAATACACTCGCCAGTATTTATCAAAACTGACTAAGAAGTCAAACAAAAGACACAGTTTTGAACATATAAGAGAAATTTGAGCATAACTTTTAAAAAGTGAAGAAATGCTAAAAAGTGCGGGTGTGAAGATGCAATCTGCATTTGTGCTTCATATCAACATCCACTGATGAACATCTGTATCCAGTAAAAAAGGCACTACTGCAGCTCAAGACAGGTTAGACTCTTTCAACCACAATCCTCCGAGATTAGCTTCTATCGACGTTACAGCTGATGATCTAATATAAATGTTTAATATAAAATAATCTGACGTCAACGCAGCGCAGGTTCACCATCGGCTTGAGTGAAATATCTGGTGCAATGTGATTAGAGCACAGTTTTCATCTCTATCTCACCTTAAGTTTTTAAATTTAAGTTTTTAAATTGTTTGCAATCAAAATAACTACTCAACATTACTAAACAGTTCAACGTTTGACATTACAGTCCTTCACTGGTGTGTCAAAAAATTATTTCTGTATCTGCTGCTCATAAATTAAATTGCTTCAATACTTTTATTTGAATATTACAGTTTATAAACTAACTTGAAATATTGTGATGTTATGTTTAAATCTGTTAACAAGTAAAGTTCAAACAGCCACATGAAGCTCTAGCGCAAGTTCAGTCAGGAAGGCTATACTCGTGCCTGTAGTTTATTTCTCAAACATCTGCCGATCACCTCCTCACGCATGCTCACTCATAATTTCCTTGCTGTTATCGTTTGAGGCTGTCAATCATGATATCAGCTGTTTAGATCCGCTGGTCTCTTCTATCCAACAGCACAACGAAACAATTTCATTGTTAGCCTATCATCTTGCTGCTGTCTCTCTTGAATATGACTGTCTCTCTACCTTCAGTACGTTCACGCTGCTGTTACGCAACCCTCCACCTCCCCACCTCTGCAGCTTCATCAACTCATGGTCTTTCATCCGGGAGACAGCTGTTCGCGCCCCGTGTGAAGCACCAGGTCAATGTTGATTCATTAGTTATTTTAACCCAAACAATCATCTTTGCATAAACCTAACCAAGTAGTTGTGTTGCCTTAACTTAACTGAGTTGTTTCTTGTGAAGACGGAAGTTTATTTAGAAAAGACTGCATGCATGTAACGAGTGAAAAGTGGACACGTGTTGCTGGCGCACGCAAAATGTAACTATTTTCGTAAGATAAGATTTGATAGCAGTCGAGACAAAACAGAAAAACAGAGAGTTAGTGTTGCTGCTAAATGTGATGGATGATTCCTCTAACTGTCTTAAATGTGTATATATGCACATGTGCATGCATCAAATGTGTCTCAGTTTATTCAGCAGGTGTGTGAGAAGTTACATTTTCTAAACAGAGAGGTCGTCTGCTCTCGTTCGGCTGCTCGTTCCGCTCGTTCTGCTGAACCTCCGTTTGTCCTTGTGACAGAGCCCTCCGTTCGGGCACAGCAGCAGCCCGTCTGGGCCGGCGTTCATCTCCCTGCCACCGGGCGCAAAGGAGCTCGTGTCAGTCCTCAGGTATCCGCGATCTTGGATCTGACCGTTGCCCGTGCCCTGCCACGCGGGCGAGTAGCAGCTCATCTGGCGGAGGTTCACCTCCTCGGCGGCGGCGGCCATTTTGTGCTTCTCGGTGGCCATGTTCTCGGAGTTTTGTTGGTTAGCGAGGCGGTGGTTGGGGAAGGGGAGGGGCAGGAAGTGCGAGGAGCCGATCACACATTGGCTGAAGTCCGGAGGAGGGGTCGACGGTGGGGGAGGAGACAGAGAGAGAGGACGAGCCAGCGAGACGTTAGCTGGAGGGACGGCCTTCACTCTTAAGAAGTACCGCCTGCAACGAAGAGATTTAGACAGTTAACACCTCACCGTGAATAATTAGATTAATAATAAATGGGCTGCACCAACAACGATTCATTTCTATCAATGTCAGCTCAGTCTTTACTGTAAATCTAGATTAAATTAAATTCTGTGATCAAGTATTCATTTTAAATTTACACTTGAGGAGGTTTTAACTTCTTAAATGCCTTTTTTAGACAAATTGAACAATAATAATCAAGTTCCTCCAAGAAAATGAAGGAACACACTCAAACCAGTTGAGTTTTACGATTGTTAAGACAATAAAGTCTATTTTGAAAAAAAAAACAATAAAGTAAAAGATAATAAAAGATCCAGTTCAGCAAAGAAACTGTTATGGTGCCATAGTCTCTATTTCTTTGTGTGTCTTTTATTATTTGGCCTGCTGAGCCATTATGAGTGACGCTCGGCTAACAAGCTGTCTTTTAAAAAAAATGTAAGGTATACAGTGCATACAAATGTATTTATTTTAATTTGGTTAAGCAAGCATCTGCATATTGATTAAACTCTTGATTTACTTATTTTAAACCTAGTTTTGCTAAACTCTGATCACAACTAACCTCCTACTCCATGAAGAGGCTGTGAAACAATGACTTGTGCTCTTGAAGAACCTTAATTTACTCAAAGTTGTCTTTTTATTTCCAGAGGAAATGCAAAGTCACATTGCTCTGCATCCTGACTCTCTGAACTACATGAGTCCTACATCGGTGGCTAACAGTATCTTTTTGTTTGCCCCTCGCTGATACATGCTTATATTTTTCAATCTCGGTGCCCCCAGCTTGTAACACAGGCTTCAAAGGTCATAAATTTTAAATTTGCAGCCCAAAATACCGTCATCAGATTTATATCTCCGGACTTTACGAGGCTCCGGCATACATCGTTAATGTCCATTTTCACTGAATGGTGCTCCTCATGGTGAGTAAACTGACTGTTATGTGTAAAATCTTTGGAGTTCCCCTTCCTCTAAATGTGCATATTCATTACCACTACTGTTGATTTCATCCTTTTTAACAAGGTTGTATTTGTTTCAATTATGTTTATGAAATCAGCTTTCAGACTTCAACGTTTATTGACCTCTAAGTTTCTGTTAATACTTTGTTTTAAATAACCGCTGAGAGTCAGCTACTGAGAACGACGGGTGGTTTTGTTGTTGTAAGATTCAAACCTCAAAGTCAATAAGTTAATATGGACATGCTGGATTTAGTTCGAAGTCTAGCGGGTAACAAACTTTACTGTAACATTGACCAATAGATAAAGGGCGGCCACATGTCGGGTCAGATGTGCATCAAAACTGCAAGTTGGGAATAAACGAGTAATCTTTGTAGCCGGATTTCTGGAGAAAATCTAGTCGACAAAATCAGAATAACAGAATCTTTGGAAATCCTGAAACTGTCATTGTCTTGTCATGGTTTTTGCTATAATTTGTTTCCTGTTTGAAAGTCTTTGTCTCTTGTTTTAAGCTGCAATCCTTTGCAAATCAGAAGTCGATAATTGCAAGTTGGTATTCCCCGACTTCCAATCTAAATGCATCCCAGTGCAACATGGACGCCTGCGGCTATCTGATTTTTGGATGGCAAGTCTCTGAGCTTCACAAGCAACAGAGGACCTACATCAGTAACTACAGCACCTTTAACCAAAAGAAGCAGTGTATAAATTAACCATCTTTCAAATCAACAACTAAGGAATCCTGTGGGTAAATATTTCTGAATATCTCATTGAAGACATTTCAAGGATCCTCGAGAGCCCTGTTAAAAGAGACGAGAGGCTTGCAAAGATCTACACAAATCAACTGAACAGAGAAGGAAATGACGGTTTCAAACACTCCATAACACACTACTTATATTAAAGAATTATGAAAAGGTCATTCAATGTGAGCGCCAACATGTTGCGAGATAAATCTTCCTTGAGTTTCCGATTTGGACCACTCTGTTGCATTTTTTTCTGTCGGAAGTAATTTTTTCAGCCCCGCCCTTTACGAGTTTCACCTGATTGCTCGTCGGACCTGCTCTCACCTGTCCCTCGTTATCTCCCTCTGCTCCCTGTGTATTTAGTCTCTGTGCTCCATTTTGCCTTCTGTCAGTTCCTCTTCAGTTCGTTGTTGCAACAAGTGTTGTTTGTCTGTTTCTGTCTGTGTGTTGGTCTCTCGGTTTCTAAGCTTTTTGCATCATTAAAGTATTTTCTTTGTACCCCGTCTGTATTTGATCAGCATTAAAAAATAGCATCACACTAAAGTCTCAAAAGTAGCATTCATTATGCAGAATGTCACATTTCAAAATAATATATATATTATATTATTGGATTATCATGCTTGTGTATCAGTTAAATGTGGAGTCTATCTAGTAAAGGTGGAGCTAATTTAACTATTTAATAAACTGCTGGGTAGTTGAATATGTAATAATATATCATAATTTATTATTTGATTACATTTTTGTTTTAATAATCTGCATCTGTAAAATAACTAAAGCTTTAAAAATCAATGCAGAGGAATACAAAGTACTATATTTGCCTCTAAAATGTAGTTAAATTGAAGTACAAAGTAGCAGAAAATGGAATTACTCAAGTACTTCAAAATGGTAAGTAAGTGTAGTTCTTGAGTAAACTTGTACTTTCCACCACTGATGACAGCCAACAGTGTCTTTTTTAATATCTAATGTTTGTGCTTTAATTTCTCTAGACTTGAAAGAACTCAACAAACATACACATTCTAGATCTTATAACAATGCATCTGGAGAAAACGCCTGCAGTGACGTTGGTTATATGCAGTTTGATTAAAAGGTCTCAAAGCATGCATCATCTGGTCTCTTAAGCTCCAACACATGTACCTGCAGCAGTGTCTCCACGCCAGGTGATGCAGTTCGAGCGCGCTGAGGGCCAGAGAGACGGCGGACACGGCCATCATGAACACTATGAAGACGTTTTTCTCTGTCGGCCTGGAGACGTAACAGTTCACTGGATGCGGACACGGCCAGGCCTGAGAGAGAGAGAGAGAGAGAGAGAGAGAGAGATAATACGACCGTGGGCCCTGAATATCATGTTTCATACGTTATGAAGAACTCAAAATGATTTAGGTTTCTGGTTTTACCTTGCAGACATACAGAGGGTTGAGGAAGACTCCATACATGATGTACTGGAGAATCAGAAACACCACCTGTATGGAGGTCCAATCACAGTCAGCTGAACTCATTCAACGTTTCACATTTCACGTCTCCATTTTGCCTCCATGATATACCATGCAGTATAATATATGGTCATGTATAAAATGTACTACAAAATGAAAGACGTATAAGAGGTAATTCTTATCCAGGCTCAATCCCAATGTCCACACGTTCAGGGTTTGTGGGCTCTTTTTTGAGACCATTATGCAAACTTTCCATCAGTCCGCATCTGTGGTGGTGCGCTGCGAAGCTAATTTTACATAATGGCCTAAATGGTGGAATTACAATTCAACTTATTTTTTTGAAGGTAAATGAACTTCCCAGTACGAGCACTTGAATAGCCTTTATTTAAGTCATTGGGTTCTTAAAGATGTAAAATGCACCAATAGCACAATAGAGTTATTTTCCTTCTTTCGTTCATATGAATGAGAACGAGGTTGGACTGATGGCAGGAAGGCGGAGTTAAAGGAAACACTAGTGCGTTTGCTTTATGGTTTTATAATTTTATACTCGGAAGTCGTGTTATAAATCCATGCATTTCTGCAGAATTCGCATGAGGGAATTACCCACAATTCATACTGTTGTGGCGCTAAAAAGGCGGGGTTCCCAGAGGAAGCCTGGAGGCATTAAAAATATTTGATACAGAAACGTTAACATTAATGATTTAAGGAGAGTCCATAAAAACATGAAATCAGAGGACTGCAAGCGTAGATTATATTTTACACACCTGGTTTATTCATCAACCTTTTCTTTTAATTTCTCGATTTGAAAACCTTTTTGACAAAAACGAGGAAATAGATTTGACAATTACTGTTTGTCTCGTATGGCAAGAGACATTTAAACGTAACATGTTTTGGAGTAATCAAGGTATTGAGATATTTCGTTGTTCATGTTTATACCCTTTCAAGCCCTTGCAGCCTCTCAGGGTTCAGGGTTTAAGGCCTTATGGGGGACATTGGGACTGGGCCCTGGTCTGTAGGCCTAGCATGTACCTCCATGATGCTTCGTAGCAGTATACTCAGGATGTACGTCTGCAGCAGCGCTCCCCTCAGACGGACTCGACCTGCCGATTGACCTTTATCCTCCTTTCCTCTGACTTTCTCTCCTTTCCTCCCGTCTTTCTCTTCTCCTCCCTCTCCTTCACCCCCTCCTCGGTCCTCCTCCCTCTCTCCCCCCTCCTCCTCTCTGCTCTTCCTCTTCTCCTCCATGCGGACAATGTGCATGGCGTGGCCCATGTAGATCAGACTGGGAGTGGACACGAACACGATCTGGAGCACCTGCGAGGAGAGCAGCCAGATTTACGATTTACGATAAGTTTATGTGATTTAACAGATTAAAACAACAACCAGTTACACAAATATGAGTTCCTGCTATTTCATTTTGTGTCTGTTTTATTCACATGACATTAGTTTGTACATTACCCAGTATCGTATGTGAGCTATGGGGAAAGCTCGGTCATAACAAACGTTCTCGCAGCCCGGCTGCTCGGTGTCGCAGTTAAAATCTTCCTGCTCGTCTCCCCACGACGACTCAGCCGCCGTCCCGAGCACCAGGATACGAAAGATAAACAGGATGGTCAGCCACACCTGTGAGGCCAAAAACAACAGAGAAGGATGTGTGAAACCCTCAGAAACTATGATATAGAAAGAAATAATGATTATTATTAGGACATGTTAACTTCTGTGACATTTGAAAATGCTATAAAAGGTCTGTTTAGTTTAGTAATGTCTTACTGATTTCCCACTTTCATTTCTTCGTGTCAGCTGCAGATGTTTCTCATGTATTTTGTTTATAAGTCAGGGCTAATAAAGTTTAAATGAAACGTACTGCTGGCTTAGAAATAAGAATAATGGAAGAGGAGGAATTATTTAAGGACACTTGTGACACCCTTAAAATATGAATTTAAGGTAAATTGTGAGTTATATTTTATTGGGAGTTAAATCAAATCTATGAAGATGATATTTTACATTATTTTAAGACTTATTGACTTCTTGCCATGTTGCCTGGCATGCAATGTGTGCAGTGTGTACGTGTGTGTGTGTGTGTGTGTGTGTGTGTGTGTGTGCGTGTTGTAACCTTGCCAACAGAGGTAGAGTGCTCCTGTACTTCCTCCAGGAAGTTTCCCAGCAGGCTCCAGTCTGCCATGACTGTATTGTATTTATTTGTCTCTCAGCAGGTCAGTCTGCAGGGACAAAAGTTCACCTGAAGATCAGAGAGCACAGGCAGGTTTCATGAGCAGGGTCACATTTAGGCTTCTCCTAATCTCCTCTGTGGTTTATTTGAACAAAAGACAAAGTTGTTTGTATGAGGTGAGAATGTCCGGGAAAAACGATGACTGATTAAACCCGTAGCTGAGAGCATCCAAAGAAGCTCCAGAACTGTTCTGTGTGGACCAGTTATAACGTTTTAATGTTCTGCAAATTGATACATGAAACAAACATAGATGTCATTTTTCCATCACATTTCTCTTTGCTCTTTTAATAATTTCCTTTGCTGCAATAATTAAAAATGGCACCTGCTGTTCATCTCCATGAATCAACTCTTAATATAAAAGTAGTGGGTTAAACTTGTTTATTTACGTTTTCTTTTGCCAATTTTCTAAAAATGTGTTGAAAAAGTTGCACTAAACCTGGATGGACACTTGAGAAGTAAAAAATTGAAGAATACCATTTGTTGCGGTTGGTTAGTGTGTTGGTGGCTAGCAAACGTGTGTGTGTGTGTGTGTGTGTGTGGGTGTGTGTGTGTGTGTGTGTGCGTGTGTTCTTGTATTGTCTCGACCCCATGACCCTCTCTCCGGCCCGGCCCTGACCCCATTAATACAAACGTCTGTGCCCATGTCTTAGTTTAGCTCCACTCTCGGTTCCCACACTCCACTCCGTCTGTCTCTGGGGAAGGAAAACTACACGCACACACACACATTTTGACATGTGTGGGTATGTTTATGCATGCAATGTATATTACTACGACTATTATTTTCTTTCCTGTAAAATCCAAACAATGCTAGAAGTCCAAAGCTCAGCCAGCAGTTTATAGAGGCTCTGATGTTCATTTCACTTAACAATATGAGAGTTTTGCTATAATAATAATAATATATTGTTTCTCTATTCTTGAAACAGCAGTGGAGTTCAGTTTGTCCGAAGAGAAAGTGCTAATGAGTCAATACAATTTATATAATCCATCTCTTTGGGAATGGGAATTGTCTCAGTAAATTTCATAACCTGTCTGACTGGTTTGTTCCAGTCAGACTTTATGAGAGGAAACCTCCTTGTATGATTTTTTTTTGCCTTCTCTTGTTTGTAGATATTGTAGCCAGGGCTCCCAACTGAAGGTCTGATACAACAGCATGCATTCATTATGCTGTAATTGCTGTGGGATCAAAAAATGTGGTTTTAATGGGGAAGTTTTTGTCCTCAATGCACTGAGTGTTTGAACTTCCAAAATTAGAATAAAACCTCAAAATATGTGTGCCATATGAATTATCACAGCCAAAATGATCGAAGAAGGAAAAAGACAAACAATGTCTCTAGTCTAGACCAGCAATTCTCAGTTTTGGGGGATTATCTTTGACTAAAATGTTAAATATATTGATAAGATCCAGAGTAGTATCACAGTTAATCACAGTTAATCACAATTATCATGGCCAAAATCGTCAATGTATCCTCATACAACAGTTCGTTTCCACTCGTTACATGCATACAGACTTTTCAAAATAAAGTTCCGTCTTTACAGTAAAAAATACTCGGTTTAGGCAAAAATATACGTAGTTAGGTTTGGGAAAATATCATAAAATATGTAGTTTGCCAAAAGATTGCCATTTGGGTTAAGATAACTGTTGAAGTTACGTGATAAATAAATCAACGTTGACTTCTTGTTTCACACGGGGAACAAACAACGGCCTTCTGGGTAAAAGGTCGTATTTTGTTGGACTCATCCACCTCCACTCCCAACTGATGTGTCTGTGTTTTTGCGGTTCTTATATTTCCTTAGTCATGATTTTGTGGATAATATACAAAATAATTTAATGGGATATCTACAAATTACAACGCATTATTTTTCATAGGTATAGCTATGAACACTGTATAAGACCAGCCTGAAATAATTCACTTTAATTCACTTTTATTTTCCACAAAAAAAGATCAATTACATTGTCATATTGTCTTAAATTTACACACCTTTTTCCTCATTAAAAAAGTCCACAATGTATATTAATGTGTTTAACTCCTGCAAAATGTCTCCTACTTCACTGAAAAGTCAACTGTGTGTGTGCGTGTGTGTGTGTGTGTGTGTGTGTGTGTGAGTGCACTGGCGGTTTCAAGTTTCCTCATCGCACTTGTGTGTGTTTCACACTGGAACATGATTGGCTTACAGGATTGTTGTGGTGTGACATAATCGTGCTCGTACGTGCACGTCTTAAACCCAGATTTAAATTTCCCTCCTTCAGCAGATGAATGTCAAACTCTGCACACACACACATCAGTCTGCACAGTGGAGATCAAACAACCGGGGGACACAACAACAAGCAGAATACGTGTTTTGAGTGGATCGGGACTTTAACACGCCTTTAACATGCTGCAGCAGAATTATGATAAACTTCAACTTGCATTTGTAACTTTCTTATGTAACGTTTAGTTTTTAAAGTGTTTCAGAAGCTGAGTTCCTATGACATTCTCATGAAAAACTAAAATAAGATGAACTCAATCTCCCTGTGGGAAAAGAAAAGAGATAACTACATCTTGGGTCCCATTAAACCTTTTGAGAAATCCCGGATGATCTCATTGCCCTGGATGAATATCCTTATGTAGTACTTTTGGTTAGCTGTCACAAGGAAGTGTCTGCAGGCCAAACTGACCACAATACTCAATGAAATACACTGTTTGGAGAAATTGATGACTACAATCTGTGGATTGTGGTTAACGGGAAACATGAAGGTGGGGGGGGGGGGGGGGGGGGCTACACTTACGCAACGACGCTGTCGGTCATGCCAGTGTTCTCAGCTGTAGCTGCCGTATGAGAGCAGTGCAGAGCGGCGGCCGTGAGCTAACCAGTGGAGCACGCTGACGTTCACTAACATGCACTAAAACCATGACCGGTATGTCAGCAAAGCAAGGACAAGCTCTTATAACAACACACACAGAGGGAGAGTGACTTCCTTCTCTGCTCAGGTAGATATTAATCAACTATATCTCTACATAGACAACAGTTGTTTGCTGCTTTATTAACACTCTGAATCCCATATTTTGCATCTTACTGGTTGGATAGTAGACAAACCCGACTTTGTACCAAATGTGTGGCTCATACCAAAACTTTCTCTTTTCTCTTTTTGTCTTTATACTGAAAACACCAATAAACGAAAAAGAGAAAAATACATCCTGAGAGAACTTTAAGTCCCAATAAAAAGGAAGTTAGAGCGTCTTTAGCTTCTGTACTGTGACGTGTTCCCGAATGAAACGTCCTGCGAGGAGCTACTGGTCGAAAAAAAAGGTGGGCGGGTTTATAATGTTGCGCGATACCAAGCTACAGAGGACTGTGGCTCCACACACACCTCCTGGATTGATTGATGGATGGATGTCATGATATTATTGGCTGAAATTGGTTGGTAGCAGCTTACGTAAGCACACACCATATCTTGTTTTACAGGAATATTTAGTATAAAAATACAGACTTTTTTATTTGCATATATTGTCTTATACATGCAAAATATGACCAGTGATACAGAGTGGAAAAGGCATTTTTTTCATTTCATCTTTTGTGAGCCTAAAATTCCCTTATTTATTAAACGCCCCTAAATACCCCTCCCTTCCTGTTTTTATGAAACCTGAAGACTTTTAACAAACTGTGTGTGTATGTGTGTGTGTGTGTGTGTGTGTGTGTGTTACGTCTTTCACAAGTGCTCCCAGCATCATTAATAACAATATTACTTCCTTCTATAGACTTTCCCCCGACCTTTGCATGCATGTGTGTGTGTGTGTGTGTGTGTGTGTGTGTCGACTATTCAGCACTCAGTATTGTTCTGCATCCTGTCTTGATAACACACGCGCACACACACACACACACACACACACACACACACACACACACACACACAGACACATATCTTTCCTATGCTGGTTAGTGATGGATAATAAATTAGGAACCGTTGACCTCGCTCAGACATGAGGATGTTTTTAATCTGATAATAGATGTTATTTATAATTTACATGATTAATATTCCCTAATTAAAAGTGTCAACATAATAAAAATGTGAGATATGAATCAATGGAAACAAAACAAATGATAAACTGATAAAGACTAAAATAGTTTTACACAAAAATGTCCCATTGAATTTCTTCCTTTTAATTTCCATATCTTGCTCAAAACTTGTGCCTTGTTAGATGTTGTCAGTTGTGATGACAGTGGCTCCTTCCTGATCACATCTACTTGCAATGGTTTTCTATCTTCTTATTCCTGCATTTAAATGTTTTTTTAGTCATAGTTTTGTGGTAAAAACTTGATTTATAAGCCTCGCACTGAGAGTTTCAAAGGAGAATTTGCTGTGTCAGAGGAGCTTCCATGACGGGGACAAAACTAACGAGAAAACATTCAATCAAACCAACATTAACCTTGAAGTTTGTTGTTGTGGGATGCACGTTGTGTTCAAGAATCCACCAGATGGATGCACATACACACACACACACACACACACACACACACACACACACTTTACCTGATTTAGGATTGCAGTTGGCCTGAGAAAATCTCAACAACGTTGGTGAAGTGGCTGCTCTCCTCTTCCTCAGCAGCTGCTCTGAGCAAGGCGCTTCCTTCCCCCTGATCCTCAGTGGCAGCAGAAGCTGTTCGTTTGTGAGGTGGTTTGCACCGGTCCAGATGTCTTCCACTTGTTTAAGGTGTTTGTTTTTTTTTGCTGGTCTTCTTCCAGCCGCAAGTTTGTGTGTTGTTCTCACAACTTGAGCTGCAGAATGTGACCCTGAGACGGCTTAAAGAGACGGCTGAGAGAGACAGCTGAGAGAGACAGACAGATGAACAAATGCAACGTTCATTCAGATGAGTTGACAGTGAGACAGTCGGTGCAGCAGCAGACAGATGAGAGCAGTTTGTGTCCAGAGGACTGACCCGAAATGAGTGTGAGACTCTAGTTTGTCTAGCCTCCTTCTCTTTCTCTCTCTCTCTCTCTCTCTCTCTCTCTCTCTATCTCTCTTTCTTTCCCCCCCCCCCCCCTCTCTCTCTTTGTCCCCCCCCACAGCAGAGGAAGTGGGCCTGGTGCCTCGCTGCCTGCTATTCAACTCTTAGGCATGCATGTGTGTGTTTGTGGAGTCTGGCATCTCAAGGAAGTCTGATATTGTATTTGGACACAATGGCTGCAGGTCCCAGTCATGCATTCCTCCGTGTCGCTCTATTCTTCCCTATATGTCTCTCTGTTCGGTTGGTATATTGTTGTGAAAACAAACTTACATGTAAAATCCACAAACACCAGTTTATACCTTCCATCACCGCTGTGAGGCTGGAACACACTTTGTACATAGTTTCTATGAAACATTCTGGAGAAATTTGAAGCGCAAAGTCAGTAAACCAATCAGTCAATAATTGTTGTTTCCATCAACTAGTTCCAGACAACCAACTACAGATAATAATACTATTTTAAAGAGGAGTAACTCTATACCTCTCAGTAGTACATAATATCACTGCTGCCTATCATTTGAAAGAATAGTTGGACAAAATAATACTAATTATTCTTTTCATGCAGCAGTATTTAGACTTTATATACACCTCCACTACGGGCCAAAAACAAAATTTGTTTGCAGAAATGTCACCCAGAATCATTCAAACAAGCACGTACATCTGTGAAAGTAACATAACATTTCAAATGAAAGAAATAGTATTATTTACTGTCTTGCCCAGACATGAAAGAAACATATTCCATATTAAATGACTAGTTAGAGTTAGATGAGAAGACAGACAGAAAGACAGCCATGGATTAACACTCTAAACCACAGACTTGGTTTCTTGTAACTTAAGGAGAGGTTATTTATTTTAAGCTCGTGTGGCTGTAGGTACAAAGCTCTTGCTAAAATGGGCCTTTCATGCACATGAAGAGAGAAGGGAGGTGACGTGATTGGTGATTCGGGTCAGGTGTGATTTGGGTTTTTGTGTTTAGGTGGGAATATCAGTGAGTTTTCTGGCTAAATGAGTTTATTCTTATAAGCATATGGAAAAAGAAACAGGTGATAATGCTTCGGTAAAGGACAAGAAAATGGAGTTGGACTGACTAAGCTTATGGATGACTGTGAGTCTCTGTTGATAACCCGGGTTAATGTCCATGATACGCTGATTGAAGCTGACGTTATTGTCCAGTGTAATGCCAAAACTACCGCTACCGGCTCTCCTGTGATGGTGAGGCCGAGGGGATGGACCGGTGTTTTGGGGCTAAAGAGCAGCTCTTTAGATTCTGCAATCTTCTCATTTTACTCTGGGCAAGAAAGCAAATGTAGTATGTATAATATACATGTTAAACTTCTGCAATTTAAAAAAATATTTGGTTATAGAGGAGGTTTATGTTTGCTTGTATATACTGCTGAATATCAAAGAAGAAGAAGAAGAAGAAGAAGAAGAAGAAGAAGAAGAAGAAGAAGAAGAAGAAGAAGAAGAAGAAGAAGAAGAAGTGTGTCCTTCAGCATCACCGTTTACTCGGAAAATGCTTTCATCAACCTTTATGAACATTTTATGAATGAAAATTCAAAAAGGGTCTAGAGAGGCAAAGTCCCGCCCCTCTGTGTTGACCACCGTGGGACCTTATTTCGGACAAAAATGTACGGTAGTGAACGGAGAGAGCCCGTTTGAATTTTGCCATGAATTACACATGTGATGTTTTTCAATTTAAATGAACATGATGAAGTAACGAGGGCAACGGGTCTCGATCGTTCTTTCTCTTCCCAGCTGCTAAAGAGTCTGACGGTGACTATCGTACATTTTTTTGTGTGATAAAAAAGGCACTAAAGTAATGTTAAAATACTCAAAACTGTGTCTTTACTCACAGATAAAATAACGCAATATGTAATCTAAGTCACAGCAGTAAAGTGACGACCATTCACAACTGAAAGGTGACAGAGGGGTTACTCATTATGAGCTATTGCGACGCTCCAGGCTTTTTTTATCAGCTTGGAAAATTTCTGGTCGCTGTGTGTTTTTTTCCAGAGAACTTGTGATAGTGTCAAATGCACACTGGTTTCCTGGGGCCATTATCAGTGTGTGTGTGTGTGTGTGTACGTGATGTAGTGAAGAGGAGAGTTCCCCTCGATTCATGTGAATCAGTGGTTGCACCATGTGACAACACATAAACGCCTTTTCTTTCAAACGGGATGGCATTGTGTCTCTAACACTGACACAACGCTGCTGGTACGAGATTGGGAGCGTTTCTATTGTCTCTCAACGGCTCTCAACATGTCGGCAGCGGGCCGGCGGATCATAGCTAACGGTGCTAAGAGCGCTATCAGTGCAAACTACAGCAAAAGTGCTGACAGAGGTAACATGGTTTACCTTAAAGGGAACCGGAGGTTTGGGTGCTACGCCTCGGCGACGACGCTGTCGGTCGGGACTTATCAACTGTAACCGCCGTATGAGAGCAGTGCAATGCAGCGGCCGTTAGCTAGCTAGCGGGTCACGCTCACGTGCATGAACATGCACTAAAAGCAGAAGCGTGTCAACAAAGCTCTGCTAACAACACGGAGAGAGAGAGAGAGTGACTTCATTCTCTTCTCAGGTAGACACTGCTCCACTACATCTATGTCTTTACTGTATTTTAAGGATGCAGTGAGCTCCATTTATTCATGAAATCTAGAAAGCATGTCTCATAATTAGCCACATGCAATTAGAATGAGCACAATGAGCCTCTGCTGCGTAAGGACAACAAAACTACAGATTCTCAGGAAGATTTATATCATTTTTGATTTTGTTTATTTTAAACTACTTTCTTCTTTCAACTCATGACTTTTTTCCTTTAAAGCGGAACCTTTAAATAACAATTTATGCTCTTTACAAAGTCTGCATGACACAACAGGACCGCTTAAAAAAGAAAAAAAGGCTTTATCTAGTTCCAAACAGCTTCCGGTGAAAAGAGCTTGTGCCAAACTCATAAAACCGTCACAATGAATCTCTGTGTGCAATGGTTTTGCCACCTGGAGGTGAATTTGGAAAGATTTGATCCACCAAATTTTTTTGACTTTTTTGAATTTGTCATTTGCCTCGCTTAAAAAATTCAAACATGGAATATTGATGACATTTTAGCAGAGGCGTCGCACGGACATTTCCTCTGCGACCCCATAGAGTTTAGTTTTAAGTGGTTTGGTGTTTTTTTCCACTTATGCAAATTATGCAAAAAAGTGTTTGTGAAGTATATCACAATGCTTTCTGCTGCACACTGCTTCAAACAGATTCAGATTACTTTATTGTCTATTAACTTTGGAAAACTGTCTTTGCCACTGGAAGATAAGAGAACACAACAATGCACAACAATAAACGACAATGATGCATCCTAAAATCTTAAAGTAGCCGGAGCAGTGATAAAAGTCTGTTGTCATTTTCTGGCCGTTGGGACTTTCAGTCTGCGGCCTGCATCGCCTTTTAGGCTGTGAAGAGAATAAATCCTTGAGTTGGAGTTGTTTGTCTCCATTGATCAGTTTGTCTTTTTGTTTAACTGAGAGGCTTCCAAACAATGAGACAATGTTGAATGTGAGAACACCACAGAGGTTGGTGTGCTGCCTTGTTTCAAAGCTCCTCAGTTTCCTGAGGGAGCTGCTGTCTCGCTTTCTTGAAGATGTAGTCGACACTGTCCCGGGAATCAATAAATCTTGAGTCAAGTGACAGACATTTTACATCATTTCTTTAACGTTTAACTTATTTAGCAAGATAAACTTTCAGATTTTCACTGGTACCAACTTCTAGGTCAAGAGGTTTTTTTTGTAGCTGCAGCAGCTGTGAAAACTAACAATAGCCATGTTTGTTGTTCACGTTGATAACCATCATTTTGAGTGGCTTCTGAGGAAGGTCTGAAGGTCTGTCTGTGTTGCCAGCTTTGTGAATCTGACGTACTCGTGGTAGGTTCTCAAGACCTAGCTTTAAAGATCAATGGAAAAAAATATGAAAACATTAATTAATCATTTTTAAGAATTATGTTGCAGGACTTTATATGTGTGTGTGTTTACATGCATGCTTGTTGTTGTGGAAGGCCCTACACTAATAATGTATTGTGTCTTGTTCTGTTCTGAAGAGATTCAACGACGCAGAGACATGAAGAGAGTGTGAGCAGACTTTTAGCTCTTGTCATCATCTCCAAACTCCTGCCTCTCACACCTCACGTGTGTGTTTGTGTAATAGTGTGTGTGTGTGTGTGTGTGTGTGTGTGTGTGTGTGTGTGTGTGTGTGTGCTTGTGTGTATGTGTGTGTGTATGTGTGTGCATATTTCAGTGTGTCTTTGCATGTTTCACACCTCTGTTATCGTCTTGCATTAAGCTCATGACATACCTTTCCTTAAAAGAGCCCACACACACACACACACACACACACACACACAAGCAAAAGATGTGCTCACACTCTGGCTGACCCCTCTGTTGTATTTTTAGAGAGCGCACCATTGGTGTTACGGCGCACACCAGGCGGGTGGGTTCATCTGAACCTCGTCTTCTAACGCACAGCTGACTGTCACACCAGAGAGAGAGAGAGAGAGAGAGAGAGAGAGAGAGAGAGCAGGACAAATTGGGAAAAGCCTTGAGATTGAACTTGACAAAAAAAAAATCTAAAATTCATCCTCTTTTAAAATGTTAGTTTTTGTAAATCATGTCGCTCTACGATTTGTCTCTGGAACATTTTAGTGTATAAGGTCATATTACATGAACTGCGTCCTCGTCTCGTGTTCTACTAACTCCTTAACTCTGCAGCGTCTTTGGTGAAAGTGTTTTTAATGTTTTTGGACCTTCATCTTGGTCTGATTACATTTTAAAATCAGGAGCACTGAATGAGATTCATAATTTCAATGGGATTGTTTTGGCTAAATAAAGGTTAAATATAAAAAAAAATGTTTTAAAAACCCAGCAATGATACACATTTGCCTTCCTACAGGATTCACTGGGTGTTAACTGGTTTTGGTAATTTAGTTAATTGCAAATTTAAGGCAGCTTGCATTATTACGTTATCATGTGGCTCTGACTTGTTAAAGCATTATAAGCCTTCAAATCTTTGTTCATGCTGTGTTTATTGAAATATACAACAACTTAATTCATAGAAAGAAAAAGTTGTGGCATCAATGTTCCACCATTGTTTGTGTGTGTAGAGAGAGAGAAAGTTTTGATGGAAATAAAAACCAATAAGGAGACTCTGCCCCCTGCTGGTCACAGTGTGACAATACAACATACTGTTTGAGAGTTTAAATTAGAGATAGATAGATAGATAGGTAGGTAGGTAGGTAGGTAGATAGATAGATAGGTAGGTASGTAGGTAGGTAGATAGRTAGATAGATAGATAGATAGATAGATAGATAGATAGATAGATAGGTAGACAGGTAGGTAGGTAGATAGATAGATAGATAGATAGATAGATAGATAGATAGATAGATAGGTAGACAGGTAGGTAGATAGGTAGATAGATAGACAGGTAGGTAGGTAGATGTGTAAAAAAACGGTTCCTTTAAAAATACTTACTATATATTTTTGTGAAAAGACAGACATGACTATGATTCATCCAGATGTGACGGGATTATTAAGGGCGGAGATGTAGCAGTCAACAATAACATCAAAGCATCAACGTTAGTTAGAGTCTCTTTCACATTATGCATTAAGTCAAAATGATCTTTTCACAGTTGTTGCTGTGTATCTCTGCTCCTCTAGTGGCATATTTCTGTTAATTTGTCCCTTTTCTTGACCTCAGAAGTGACTGTTATGTGGTATTTATGTCAATGTTAATGTGTTAATTACAGTAAGTTACTAGTGCTATACAAATTACATTATATATCTTTCTGTTATGAACATTAAAGATGTTTTTTGTAGGTTCATTGATCATTTTGTGGTACAGTATTTAAGTGTAAAATGTGAGGCTAAACAGTGTAACTTCCCCTCTCTTCCCTTTTGGCTGTTTAACGTTGTCTCAACATGTCAGCTGGTCGTGTGTATCTAACTCATCATTCCTCAAGAAGACAGATTGTGGGTGTGTGTTTTATGTGTGTTTCAGAGGAGGGAGGAGGGAAAGACGAAGGGGGGGTGGGGGGGTGACTCTCGACAGCTGGTCTCCTTTCTCCCTCAGCATCCCTCCTCCTTCCTAACTCAGACGTTGTTTCACTGCAGAGCGAAGCAGACGGCTTCACTGATCGTTGGTTGGATATAAAACTCTTCATCTAAATGGATCCATACTGACATTTTGGATATCTGGATATGAATTAACCTCCCGATTGATTGACTGACTGACTGGCTCATTGATTACTTTTGGCTGCTGATCAAAAGCTGTGGAGTTGCTGCTTCTGACAGGCTGTTTTAATGCTGACTGGTTCATACAGAGTAACTTCTGGACGAACTGTGGTTAGACTGGCACGGTACGCCTGCTATATTATTATTATTATTATTATTATTATTATTATTATTATTATTATTAATAATAGTATAGGTGTTCATAGTAATGGTAATATTAGTGGTAGTAGTGCTGGCATTAGTAAAATAAGTAGTTTTATTGTTAAAATTGTAAATATTTTCCTTATATTCAGTTAATTGAATGATTATTTAACTAACAAATCCAATATTTCCTTCATTACCTTCCTCTCCTCTTGTCTCCTCATTTCCCTTCTTCTCTCCTTTCCTTTTCTCTTCTCCTCTCTTCATTCCTCCTCTTGTCTCCTCTCTTCTCTTCCTCTCTCCTTTCCTCTCATCACATCTCATCTCCTACCCTTTGTCCTCCTCTCCTCTATCCTCTCCTGTCCTCTCTTCTGTTTTCTCCTTTTCTCTTCTCCTCTCTTGGTTCCTCCTCTCATCCCCTCTCTTCACCTCTTCTCTGCTTTCATCTCATCTCTTACCTTTTTTTCCTCCTCTCCTCTATCCTCTCCTCTCCTGTCTGCTCCTATCTTCTCTCCTCTCTCTTCTCTTCCATCATTTCCCTCCTCTCCTCTTTCCTCTTTCCTCTTCTTCCATCCTCCTCTTCCCCTGTCTCGTCTCCTCTCTCCTCCAGATGTTGATCGTCTCAGTGCTCCTGCTGAAGTTGCTCCTCTCCTCTCCTCCCGTCTCGTCCTCTCCTCTGGCCAAGGTAAACTCAAAGTGTGAATGAGTTGTTTTTTGTTTGTTTTTTACTTAAAACAAATATATGAGATACTGTTGACTTTCACTAATCATGACGCATTAAAGAAATCACCGCGTGGGTTAATTAAAGCTGAGCAGATTGATGTGCATGTTCCTGTTATGTCTTCTTGTATTTCTGATAAGCTACACATGAAAACAAGACAAGCATTCAGATTAAATGCATATATTAAAGAAAAAACGGGGAAACTTCGAAACATATTTCCAGTGATGACATTTCCAATTTTCTTTTCATTTCCCACTTTTCTCGAGTGTAAATCACAAGTTGTCTCTTTAGAAAAGACTGATGTTGACCTCTGACAGCAGGAAAATAAACTAAACATGGAATATTGCCTGAAGTGTGTGTGTGTGTGTGTGTGTGTGTGTGTGTGTGTGTGTGTGTGTG